CATTCTATCGCGATATTTCATTTTCCTATCGTTGCCTAACATTATACCGGTATTACCGTGAACGGTATAATATGGCCCAGCCCTAATAGACGTTATATAAAAGGTGAACACAAATTCAAGCTCTAAAATGTGAACACAGGATCTCTGTTAACAATATGACTATGACGTCATCAGGGTTATTTCTGTGGACTCTAGCCCTCTACAGTGGACAAAGGAGATGTTATACAACTCTTTCCACGAACTGAGCAGCACTTCTGTCCAGTCAAGTGATCATCATGTGTAAAAGTACATCAGTTAGAAGATAAGTCAAGAAGCGTGTTTTCAGCATTGCTATCTTAGTAGTTTTCAACATGACAAGCAATTAGAAAGAATCTAGGTTTAAAGAAATTGCACATTGCCTAACTTTTCAGATCCAGGGGTTTCTTCTATCTTTCATATACAGTCTGTGAAAGAGACATGCTAGGAATAGGCTGAGTACCTTTTGCATCAGCAGCCTGTGCATGCAGATGCACACAAACTCTATGTGGGTGTTTATCAGAGAGCATGCCTGTGGAAGGACAGAATCCTTGGGCAACATTCATACACTCCTTACATAACAGTGACGCTTAAACAATCATCTCCATAATAGAGGAGATTAAAGGAGATGAGATGCATGCAAGCCTAAACTTGCTGCTTACCACTAAACACCTGGTAGATATACTGGACCTACCCATTAATGACCAGTTGACTCATCCTAGGGTTCAAATGATCACATTAGGCCGTGAAGCAATTTTAAGCACAGAATATTGCATGTGTCAATCATTAATATGAATCTCTATCAAACAAATGCTTCTTATTTTCTCTCCCATTTAAAATGCCAGGACTGATGGTGTCCAAGTGCCTCTGAGTCACTTCATGACTGTCACAGGCAGACAGCTTCCTGACTAAGCACTCAGAAATTAAATGGAAATTTGTGGTTCATTGGCTAGGCTCATACACACAAACACAACACTCTCTGGCTTCACTGTGACCACTGCTACTTAAGAGAGGTGACGGTATAAAGATGTAAAATCCACAGCAGTAAGGAAGCAGGCCTGAAAGTAACACTTAAACAGAGTCATCACCGCATCACTACACATAGCACGAGTCTGTCCGAGCTCTTCCACAGGGACTGTCTGCTTACATCAGCCTTTCGCAGGCGTCACCTCCCTTCATGTCTGATCTACACCTTCAGCTCAATGCTCAACCTGACTTTGTTGAAGTTAGCTTAGAATGATATCTCTTTTGACATTTTCCCTTACCGGTTATTGGCCTTGCTTTTTAATCACAGCATCTGCACTGAGCCCGTGATAGAGCGGACAAACTAGGGAGGGCATGTGCACAGGGGAGGCAGCGCATTTGATTGACTGCACTCATTGGCTGATACTGGCAAAACGTATGTCATCCAATACGCAGTTAAAAGATAATATTATCTTAACCACAACAACATGCATTAAAAGATGCTTGGGATTATCTAGAGAGTTTTATAAAAAAAAAAATCTCACTGAGTGGCTCCACATCCGTTGTTTACGATGCGATGTTATCAGCACTGTCTGCACCACACGGAGCAGAGCAAGATCATAAAAACCTCACCACAATCACAGCAAGCAGTCAAGCAGTGTAAAATAATGCAGAAAATTTTTAACAACGACCCCACAAATAGCCTTGTCAGTGCATTCTCGAACAAAGGTTATGGATATATATGTAAACTTTTTTTTTGCATATATCAGGTTCAGATTTTTTTAATACCATAAAACATCGATAAACTCATATAAATCCAGTTCACTATGACCCCAAACAAACTCAGTATCTAATGATTCACCATGAACACGTTAACTAAGCAGAACTTAGTTTGAAAATAACCT